TAACGAGGTGATTAATTTGGTAAAAAGGAAAATTTTATTACGCGAATAATTCAGCTTATAATAATTAACACACAATGTGCAATATTTGAACAAATTTTATCGTGATACCTACACGTTTCTACGTGGCTGTCCATTGAACCATATTTCGACTAAACAAATAGACTTTAGGTATCTTTGTGGAACGTATCCGAACACAATTTACATAGCCTAAACTCTAATTATTGTCGGTCAACGACCTTTTTATTACACGATTTCCCGCCATTGCTTCCCGCCAATTTTTAGTGTTACGTCTTACGTTTTTTTCTCGATATTTATTTGTGCTATATCTTGACACTTCCTTACGATCGTAGGCTTACAATCGTGACTAACACTGCTAATAAAAAAACTAAATAATGGTGTTGTCGGGAAATATTCCGTACATTTTTTTGAACCTTGATTGCCTATATTTCTTATTGTAGACTTGAGGAAGAAAACTTATTTGATACGGGCAGTTGAAATGTAAATTAATTTAATGTTTTTGTTCTAAATTTAATTTGTAGAGGCGTTGCTAAGCGACCGAATGTGGTTGCTGACTTAATAAAAGTTTGAATATCGAAGTTTTAGCAACATTCTCTAGCTTTTATTTCGGTTGCAAGAATTACAACTAAACAAGTTCTGAAAAGTATAAGATAAAAAAAAAATACATGGCCAATGACCATTTCGGAAGATAATTAAATGCTAGCATAGACCTCAGCTAGACATTATTGAAAACGGTTAATGTCCTATGCAAATATCTATCCAAAGGTGACCGTGATGACATTAGTCGATTCTCCGTAAAACTGTTTAAAATGCAAATCGTCCACGACTTATCGTAATCCGTATTTTCTATATGTATTCTGTTAGATATAACTAGGCTTCTATTGACAAAATATTCTTAATCATAATGTGATGGCGGTATTAGATATCACAATGAAGCAAGGCAGCTAATGACATTGCTGTTTTGTTTGCTGGATAGGTAGCCCCTATTTTTAGCTGATTTTTCTAGTTCATTTCCAATAATTTCTTTTAAATCTCTATTCTATATGTTACATGTTAAAAAACCATCTACAAAAAAACTAACTTCTTCGAGAGATTCACTCTTACAACAAGATACTCCATCCTTCTTCTAATAATTTGTTCGTCATCACTGCATAGCATAAAACAAAGCCGCTTTCTCTGACCCTATATCCCAATATTAGCTTATATCTTTAAAACTAAGCACGGATTTTGATGTGTTTTTAATAGATAGAGTGATTGAAGAGAAACGTTGTCATGTATAATATCATTATTTTATAGAGAAGGATTTTTAGCATTGTACCCGTGCAAATTTAGGGCGGGTCGCCACTGCTAGTAGACAACAAAACAGTAGACTTGTGATACAAAACAAAACTCAAATGTAGCCATGTTACTCTATTATTCATATTACTAAGAATTCTTCAAACATAATTTGTATTTATGGCTATTATTTCTATCGATGACATAGCCACGTCGTTTATATAAAACGCTGCATAATCACTGAGCTCTCAACGTAATTTCTGTTTACCGATAAAGTATGCTGTTTGATATTATCGTGTATACTACAAAATATAAACAGATCGATAGCCATTGTTGAAACAGATCAAAGTGAAATGGGCAACATTACTTAATGATTAATGCCTTCCAAGCGCCTTTCAAGTTCCAATCGATGAAGGGGCTATGCTTATGTACATACTTGAGTATATGTATGTTCATATGTTTACGACTGTTTTCGATATTATTAGCGACCCGCCGCGACTTCGCACGGGACTAATGATGATACTTAATTTCTCCATAATTTAATGGATGTTATCATACATATAAACCTTCCTCTTCAATCGTTCAAAACTGCATTAAAATCTGTTGCGTAGCTTTAAGATTTAAGCATACATAAGGATTTAGGGACAGATAAAGCGACTTTGTTTTATATTCTGTAGCGATGAGTCAAAGGTATGATAAGTTGATATTTGCTAGTGAACTTTTGTATCCATCGCGTTATTTATGACGTTAAGAGTTTGGGTGTAAGTTCTTCAAGCTCTAAGTACTAAGTTGTTCTTTCTTAGGTAATATACTCAGTGTTATTCTATTTCTTAGAAAAACGTAAGAAATACTTCTTATACTATACATCAAAGATGAATTCCGGAACTAGTTTTACCTACATGTTCCAAAGATACTTTCTAAGTTGGGACGTGTGTGCCAAATAAAATTAATGCTAGCATCACTTCAACAACTCTCCTTTTTAATTTTCTTACAGACTCCAAATAAAAAAATAACCATTTAAAATTTCAGAATCCTCCAATTACTAAACAAGCGAAAACTGGAGAAGCTAAAAGAAATCTGGTGGAACAATAACCCGGAGTCTATGAAATGCGAGAAGCAGGATGACCAATCTGACGGGATCTCCATTCAGAATATAGGAGGCGTGTTTATTGTGATATTTATGGGGATTGGTCTGGCGTGCGTCACTCTAGGAGTGGAGTACTGGTGGTACAAGTGGAGGAAGAGACCCGCAGTTGGAGATGTTACTCAGGTATTGAGATTGCTTTTTGTCATAGGTCGGCAAACGAGGATTACCTGATGGTAAGCAATCAGTGCTAACCATGGACACTCGTAGTACCATAGGAGTCATTACAAATGTATTGTCGGCCTCTTGTGGGTTTTTGGCATTTATGGATATGGGATAAGAGGATGGAGGGAGGGGGGAAGAATTGGGCCTCCAGTAACCTCACTCATACGGCGAAACACAACGTAAGTGTTGTTTCACAATGTTTTTCAAAATATTCGGTATTTAGGTCTGTAAGTCTAAGTCTTCTCAATTATTTCCTCTTTGGCGAAATATATAATATGCTGATATCGTGTTAGTAGCATTTAATTGGTCTCTCACCACGGTGAATTAATATTACCTAGACGGATTTGTTTCGTTTGCTTTATTCGTCTGTCTTTTGCCCACTTAGATATTTGACTGCGGCTAGTTTAGGGTTTTTTTGAAGCAATATCCGTTCGTTGCTCAACTGCAAGACACTTTTCAGTATCGTCAGCAAAGCTTTAGTTATGACCACGACTGCTATGAGTAGATCTGCTGTGTAAAGTAGAGCAGGATTGAACCCATTACGCTACCTGCTTAGTAAGGATACAGAGGACGGAATTCAGCTTCATGTTTGACAAAATGTGTCTTTTAAGGTAGAAAAAAAAAACTCTTAGATCTTGGAAAAAAATAATGTTTACAAAAACACCGATTTTTAATTCGATACAACTGCAAATACTCTAAAAGTAAAACTCTTTAAAAATGTTAGGAAAATTGAGCAATAATGATCTTCATTATCTTTTGTTTTCTTTACAGGTGGAACCAGCGAAATTGACCAGAAACAACGTCGACAAACAAGGTGATGGTTTTAACTTCAGAGGGAGAAACTTAGGCATCAATTTTAAACCTAAGTTTTAAAAGTTCTTAAAACACGATCAACTTTAACGTAATTTACCAAAACCGCCTTTCAACATAATGAAATAAAGTTCCTTTTATTGTGTTTCTGGCTTATCTCTAGCGGAAATAATTGGAACGAATATGAAGTAGAACTAAATTAACCTTGTAAGTATGCTAGCGACATCTAGTATCGCTAAGGTAAATCAGCGGTACTTGCTTGCCTTACGAAATGAGATTTTATAAATACGGGATAAAGATAGTAAGGTTGACTCGTGTTTTACTTTACCAAAAATACTATTATTTTAATATTTATTCTAGGTATTTTCCAAGTGTTCATTGATCTCATTCTTTTATAATTAAGAATATTGTATAGTTCTGCCCCAAAATATGCAAGTGTGTCTGCAATAAACACGTGGCACTTTCAATTTGTTTTAATTACCTACCCACAAAATATTAATCTACTATAATTTATAAGATACTAAGCATGTAAAAACATTCCATTTCCAATCATCTATAGGTTTGGTGACGCCATGTATTCGTAATCGGTTATAAATATTGTTCTAGAAACATTCAAGCCTCAAGGTGAATTCAAGCCTCAAGCTTGCAAACATCGGCGCTAGATGGCGTTGTCATACATATTGAACTTAACCATTGACAATGAAAACAGTTTAAACTTTATTGTATTTATGTAAGTGGCATGAAGGATAATTAATATGTCTAATGTGTAAGATAATTAGTATGTTTTAATATGAGCTTTAACACTCAATATTTTATTCTACTTTTCGCTTCGTATTCGTACCGGTTTCAAACTTTTTAGACATCTATTAAAAAAGTTTAGAATACTACAATCGAATCAAAATCGAATATCATTTTTTTGACATTTTCAAGGTATACATGTTATTATACGTCATTAAATACATGCTGAAACATAAAAAAAAATCATTTTTAGTAGAAAAAAAAGTCTAACCGTACCTAACTGAAATTACACACGAGATAAAAAAAACATTAAGGTAATATTTTAAAGTAGTTTATTATAATAACTTAATGAGCTAAGTTATAAAAGTATGATCAACATTATTCTAGTATAATGTACAATGGACGTGTGAACCGATTGTTGAATTTTCTATAGAAAATAAAATTTACAATCAGTATTTTATGACTAATCTTTGTTAAAAAGGCGATGAAATTTTGTGTATTATGCAAGGTGAATGTTCAATGCTAGGATTTATGATTTGTGTATGTGATTATTAGTCAATATAAATTATATCGGATAATTAATTATTACGTTTAATGGCTTGGTCACGTAATTGTCTTTGACGAGGAACTCGATTAGTTTTAACTTTTCAAGCCACGTTGGGGACTCATATTCATTAAAGAGCATTGCGCGACACACGACCCTGGGAACGTCGAGTGTGAACGCATAGCTTAATGTGACTCATAAAAATTTTAACGAGATAATTTTCTCGAAAAGTTTATGTATTAAATTCTTTATTTAAAATATAAGTCAAAGGGACTTTCTATTTTTTAAATTTAAGTCCCTTTGACTTTAATTTTAAGTAAAGAAATTCGTTTTACAGTTCTTGAAGGATCTTTTTCATAATTTTATTCAGAATTGATTTTTGTTCTCGATCCACCATGGAGAAGAGTTTCTAATATAGGTTGATCGATCGATTGATTGATCAAAAAATCACACAAATCTTTGCCTGATCTAAATTCTTATTGAGGAGTACATTTATATGCGTACGAAATTAAAGTTTTATCAGAAAAAATATGATTTACCATGATTATAATTCTCAAAATGCAATCACCTTTATCACCTACATATAATAAGAGTTGCATTTGTTGTTATTCATTTAGTTTATTCTTTGTGAATTTAGCCTTGAGTTTGATAGTAATATCAACACAAAAACACTTTTATTGAATGGATGTTTTGCTCCGACCTTATACAATTTGCAACAATAGGTCCACACATTCGTCCTTCTCTTAACTGCTAGTTGAGTATTATGACGGCAATAATCTAACATAACTTTGATAAACTCAACTACAGTATCATATTGTCATTTATAAGGCAAGAAATCGTCATAGTTTACATTCCTCAAACCACGATCTGCCACACTGATCTGATCAACATCATCAGCTTCGAGTACTCTCTCTTCATTGTTCATCCTTGTATCTCTATTAACATTAGTAATAATCTCGCCTTTTCTCTTAATTGTATATTTACATTAGAAAAATAGCCATTTAAATATAAATATTATTATTAAATTATTTGAATTTGGTAATGTTTATAGCTCGATAGTCTTGCCATGTTTGTTCAAGTTTTTCATGTTCTTGTTACATAATTCTAGTTCTAACCTTAGACCGTCCACTTCCGCCTCTAAGGTACGAGATCTCTTAAACATTTGGACATAGTTCAGCTGTAATTGTTTCTGGTATCGAAGTACTTTGTCCTTTTCTTCGGACCATTTTCTTCTCTCGTTGTTGAACTGGGTTTCTTTAGCTTCCAGTTCGCACTTGAGTCTGTCGACAATGGCGGTGGCGGCGCAAGGCTCGCTGCACGAGTCCGGCAGCTCTCCATTCAGTCTTTGAACTTCAGCATCTTCTAAGGCACTATCACTGGAGTTCCAGTGGTACTCATTATTTTTGCAGACGTCGTAGATGCCTCTCATGGTCCTCCCGCACTCGATGCCTTCGTACCCACTGAGGGAGATATCTGACAGTTCTTGTCTAAGCTCTTTCAGCTCGGTTTTTAGTCTTTCGATTTCATTTTTGCTGGACTCCTTCGTCTTGGTGAGGTCTGACACGCTTTCCATGAGGTCGTTGGTGAGGCGATCTACTTCTGATTGTAATCGGTTAATGGACTTTTCTTTTTCGTCCGTTTCTGCTCGGAGCCTCATGATCTCCTTCTCCTTCTTGTCGAGGACTTCTCTCAGCTGGCGACAGTCCGCTTTCAGGGTAAGGTATTCGTGTCCTTTTGCTGTTTGTTCGTTCTGGAATTACAGAAATGAACGTTATTAAAGAACCAAATAAAAATCAATTTTATTTAGCTCCATTTTCAGATTTTAAATTAGAACTTTTAGCTTGCTGCAAAAATCAAAATCATTTATTCCATCTAAACCCTTTACCATTACTTTTAAAACGTCAAACTAGAGTAATAGTTCATCGGTCTGTTTATCAGTGAATGCTCGATAAAAATTGTAGATTGGAATGGAGAATTTACAATCTCATACATTACTTAATACACATTTTTAGGCATACGTGAAACCAATGCAGAAGACAAATTTTTAAAAGAAGTAATGGGGTCAATTCCTCTTAATTCGAACAAGGCGCTCACATATGCAATATGCATACTGTGCATGAAAAGGATTTGCAACTGTTAATATTAAAACGTTATTTTAATATACAATTGACTAACCTACATTGCCTACAGAAATTTTACTACATAGTGTAAATATATTTTTTTAAAAAAGCCTCACACTTTGTTGGGTCCTGAGTCGTGGCTGCGTTTACAAACATACAGTTTCACGTACACAAGGCACTCAGACCCAGAACAACAATTTATGGATCACACAAAGAGTTGTTCGCTGCACGGTAACCAGTTGCCCAGTCGACGCGCCAACCGTGCAGACAAATTAGTTAAGGGGTAACAAACCTGAGCATCCTTAAGTTGTGTTTTCAACAATGCGATCTCTCCAGCTCTCTGACAGAGACTCCACTCCGTGTCTTCAAGCCTCTGACGAAGCAGCGCTCGGTCTCGTCTGACGCGCGCCAGTTCCGCGTCTCGCTCATCCCGTGAGCGTCCGAAGCTCTGCATCATGAGACCTCGGGCTGCTCGAACACGGACCTCATGACTTCTAACGCGTTCCGTTGTGCTGAAATATTGGAAAATTTTGCTTAGTGTGAGAAGAATATTTAGGTCACTTAGTTGCCTATCATTACGGTCATCTTAATTTGTTGAGTGATTGCCTTTAATTGGAAATCGCAAAACAATATTCATACGCTAGTCCTTTGATATCCCATATTTTTATGTGATAGGACGGCAAGCGAGTATTACCTGATCGTAAGCAATGTGCGCCGCTTATCAGTGCAACAACGAAAGAGTTATGAGTGCGTTGCCGAACTGTAAGGGATTGGTGGAGGGGGAGGATTGGGCCTCCGGTAACCTAACTCAAACGGCAAAACACAACGATATATACCTATCCCCATTCGTGCCGAAGCATGGCTCTCCCACAAATATGTTGATTTTAGTGATTTCAGGTCAGTGTGACATATATATTTAGTTCTTTTTTGTTGTTTTATTTTAAAACGTCCAAAATGTTAGTCATTCGTTTTATTTTCCTTTACCGGGTTACAATCATTCTGAACTTCTTTTTCATTGATCGGAAATACTTCTATTACGTTTATAGCTTTGATAAATAAACCTGATTCTACATGTGATTGCTTTATATGCATTTAAAATCGCAGTGAAACTTCTCGTCTGATTTTACTACTAGGGCATAAAACAAATTATAGCATTAGAAAGGAATGCATCATACATTCCTTTTTCAAATACAATACAATTTTATAGCGGTTGCCGTGAAACCTCCTAACCCAACCTACTAAAGTTGATGAAAGCTGAATATTTATAGCCGCTAGAATTTTCTATAGTCTGTATAACTATGAGTTATTAAGTAAAACAAATGGGCAACGTATTTATTCATTGATATTTTTGTGTATTTTCAATGATTGTGCAATTACACATCGCTTTAATTCTTATTCGTAAAAATTTTTACTCTACTCTTTCATCAAATATCCAATCTTTCGCCAAATATCCCTTGTCCAATTTGGGGTCAACCTATGGTCATATACAAGATTTTAGTATTCAATCTAGATTTAGCACTTTGCCTGCTGAGAATTTTCCGAAACCACTCTTTGCTTGATCCAGAAATCGGCTAAAAGATCCATTATCCCCACCACAGATGCGATATTCTTCCCGCAAAGACATATTTGCATCTTTTTAGATATCGTTCTGTAGTATGGGCGTAAATTCAGCTTACCTATAGTCATGCTGGTCTCTCTCCAGTTCAGCGACTCCTGAATCGGCAGGCGATGGCGCTGGCACTGGCTCCTTGTCCGCGCCGCTGAGCACAGAACTCGACTTTGTGCTGGAAAATAGATAAAAAACAATATAGCAGAAGTTACAAATATAACAGTGCGATATTTTGATCTTTTAAAAGAGGTTATGACCGAATAAGACTTTATTCGATAGTAACGCCACCTACAGAGCTTCAAAACGGAACTCCTTACTTGAATGTGAATTCTGTTGGAATACCAATGAAATTATCCACGAGGAACTTAATTATACGGTACGTTTAATAAAATGTCGTTGGACTAGATATTTTAAATTATTAGAGCTCCAGCTTTAAGGTAAGCGATGTGCAGTAAAAATGTGAACTTGTTTGATGGATTGGAAATCAAGTTACAAGTAAGTTAAGTAATTAAACACAAGTCTCCTACAAATTATATTATCTATTATTAAAATATTTGCTCATATCGTTTGGAATTCCATTCATCTGTGTCACTAACGATGTGAATTAGATATTCAAATAACCTACTTGCATTCAATTGAGACGCAATTTAATATAAATGCACATATACACATACATTTATCCTTTATTTACTTTATTAGGTACTAGTTCCGAATAGCCATATAATCGAATAGTTGCTTTTGCGATAGTTAAAGTAGGAAAATAACGCCTAATTTTCGTATATTTGCACTTCATAGCGTTACTTGACAAGGGCTCTGTTTGAGTTCGAAACTTATAGTTAAATTCCGATGTCAACATAAATGAAAAAGTAAGATTGTTCATTACCTACTACTAAGATTGACGCTTTAACACGTTATGGTAGGTCCTCAGGAGACGGAACGTGGTGGTTTTTAGTCAGTAAGAGTCTGAGACTATTTTGGCAATTTTACGCTCTTGAAAAGAAATGTTTGTTTGTAACCCTTTCACGATTTATCTATAGATGCGGCGGCGTGTCAAGCCAAGTTCAAGTAAGTAACAGAAAAAGTAATCTAGTAAATTATATAACTATTTTTTTTAAAATTTTGCATTCATAAAATAATGTTTAGTGGAAAGTACGGAGAGGGGACTCGCTTCACGCGACCAAAGCCTCGGATAAAAGCTAGCCTACAACAAACTAGATCCGTGTACATCAATAGAAATATCTTCAAGGTATAAAACGAGATTGAATCCGTACTAAACATCGTATCAGAGATTCTACGCAGAATCGTAATAGTAATTCAGATGGAACGGTAAAAGCGTTAGGTATTTTATTACTTTGTTTACAACCTGTTGGCCGTCTACGGTGTACTTGTGTACCTAGTTTCGTAATCTGGTCAATTGGGACCGGATTTTCGTACCTGTACCGCTGCTAAAGAGGGTGATAAATTGTTGTCTGTTTATGTTTTCGTCTAAAGATTATTAATTCAGGAAACCGCCAGCAAACACTTTCGCGCACCGTTTTTATTCCAGTTGTGTCTGGAATTACGAGGATTGAAAAGTTAATTGTACCTAATTAGGTACTATGTTTTTTTTTGTTTTCAAATCATTCATCGTCATCATCGTTGACATCATTAGTTAAAATACGTCTAAAAAGGTTGGTTATTTGGTTACAATTCCCTAGCTTAGAAAGAGGATATTGGATTCCGTTTTGGTTACCAAAATTCAAAAGAAAGTTATTCTCTCGCTTTTGGGATCTTCAATGGTAACACTTTTAAAAGAGAAATCAAAGGATGATTCAATTTAATATTGAATAAAAATTACATAATTAAGCATTTAACGTAAAAGTATAAGTGAGATTAAGTTACAAAACCATTTTAAGAAATGACTATTTCATGTAACCGAAACATATAATGACCTATTCTATTTATGGCAATATTGTGACAGCATTTAAGTAGAACTCCCATACTAGATAGCAGATTAAATAAGTGTGCCTGTGTGCCATCATCTTTAAAAATAAACCGCTATGTTATGTTTATGTAAGAGTCTTTTGTTATTACGCTCATGAATGGAGCTACACTAACGAAGATCGATGAATTCAGTTTATTACTATTGTTATTTTATGGCCTGCCTTATATAACTGTGTTTTTGATTGATATTATTTAGTTGAGTACTTCGTATTAAAGAATAAAATGGACGCTATGATTTTTTGAGATACTATATTTGCATTGGATTTTCTATTGTTCTTGGTTTAATTTTTTAACGATGTTTTTTTAATCACTCAAAGATGTGCAGATGACAGTTTTTGATTTATTATACCTGTCATTCGTTGACGTTTATCATCTGTCAGTGTCAAAGTCAAATTTTGATCCCAATTTGTATATAGATGTCGCAGCAGAAAATTATTAAGATAGAAAATTATAAAAGGGCACTTATTTTAAACTACTAATACATAGCAAGTGCAATAACGTTGTAAATATGAAAGGCAGGTCGCGGTCGGTAACTCGTCTTGCTTCACCGACGGAGCGTTACTGCTGCTCAGCTTATGAATCTGTTTTAATTATGGATGTAAAGTGCCAATGTCAGATATGGTTCTATGGGTAGCCTGTCAGTAAGTGGAAAAGAAAGAAAGTAAGATATTTATGGGTAGGTATGAGAAAATATTTCTTTGGTTAGCTTGGTAAAGTTTAATGATTTAGTACTTCGAGTGTAATATTCCCCAAGCATTATAAAGTAATGTTTTTTTTTCAGAGCTTAATGTCAGTAAAAAAGCTTAAAATGCGTTCTGTATTTTATTCGTAGATTTATGGCTATCGTCTGTCTATTTATTTGTGTTAAAGATGAAGAAAACAGTTAACTAGAGATCCAATAAAGGATTGAATGCCCGTTATGATTAATAAATAAAGCGAGTCATCGTTTAAGTGTAAAAACAAATCCAAAATCCAATATCTTCAATAAACAAGGAAAACCGATTCAATATAGACAAATATTGGCCTTAAGTTAATCGATTAAATATTTGATTTACGCATTGAAAGGGATTTTAAAGAGTCACGAGATGTGTCTTATACGGTCTTTCTTTCCTTTCACGGGACCACAGGGTCCCGGACCTTTGGAAGGCGTACGAGGAGCCGAAGCCAACTCGCAGAGGCCCGTTGAACAGTTTTAATCTTAATGTGATGGGACATCAGCCGGCAATTATCCCTGTATGCACTATAAAAGTGCACCCAAGGACAATCCCATACGGTCTTTAATTATTAGGTTATTATTTTGTCCCTATTATGTGTAGTATCTTTCAGTCAGTCTCTCTTCTCTCTCTCTCTCTCTCTCTCTCTCTCTCTCTCTCTCTCTCTCTCTCTCTCTCTCTCTCTCTCTCTCTCTCTCTTTCTCTCTCTTTCTCTCTCTCTCTCTCTCTCTCTCTCTCTCTCTCTCTCTGTATAGTTATAAACACAGTTCAGTGTTTCTAAATATCTTTTCCTCTGTGTAGATAAATAATAAATAACTCCATATCAATTAATTAACGTCTAATTGATACTGCATACTTGGAATTTATAAATGCCATACGAAAATGTGAAAAAAAATATTTTGCAAAGCTCTTCGCAGTAAGAGAACAAAATAAGAACGCTTCTAAAGCAAAATAAATAATCTAAAGGTTTGCAATTGCAAACCTTTAGATTAAGAAGTTAGTTAATCTGGCCGTAGCTGTCCGTGGTAGTGTTGGCTTAAAAATAAATATAAAAACGCTCATTACCGTTGGCAAACTAAGTACGCGTAGGCCACATGACCTCGTAGTAAGTAATATGGTGTTTGTAATAACTGAGACGTAAATTTATGCTCTAAAAGTTCGCAAATATGAATGAATTGTGAATTATTATGTATAATTTTCTACTACATACTTGGAACTGCCAGAATATCCCTTGAAACTGGAGCGTTACGGTCAACAATTGTTTAGTAAATAGCAGAGAAGACTTTGGATGAAGCCATTTTGTCAAACAATAAAGTAGTTATATCTAACCCATGTGTTCTCAAAGGCATGCAAAGAGGTTTTCATATGATTTACTGATGGATGGATTATATATTGATGAGGAATGCACTAGTAGTATTCTTCAGATTTTTGATCCAAGCAAATGAAAGCGATTGCTGTGGCCTGGAGTTTAAGGAGCCCGCTTCTCATGCATGAAGACGCGGTTTCGAAATCTGACAAGTTTTCGAGTTATATTCCCTTTCTTAGTTTATTTAAACATGCTGGCTGAAGGAAACCATTGGGAGGAAATATTATAACTTCTAATTATAGGCTTGAAACCACCTTGAACAAGCATGGTGACTAATGCTTAAACCTAACGCGTGACAAGAAGCCTTTGCTCAGCAATGGGCACTTGTAGGCTGATGATGATAATGAAATGAAATTTTAAGTGTAGCTTAACATCGAAAGTTATCTGAATGCATGGTGTGAATTTTATATGAACCCTTTGGTCAACAACAAACATGATATTAATGTTATATCATTACGTGGGTTTATAGACAAGTGCAACACTAGAAAGTGGAGGAAGAAAGTCGTGGGCTATATTTTATGATGCGGTTTATTTACGGGAAAGCGAATTATGGGTAGCAAGAAACATAGAAACAGACATCAATGATAGACTCCCAACAAAAACTGGAAAACAGTATAAATAAACTGTGCGCCTGTTTGTTACGCTTTTACGTCTAAACTGCTGAATCGAGTTTGGTGTTCGATGATTTGCACGCAGGTAAACCTGACAGCTGTCTATTTTGCTTTAGAAGCGTTTTTATTTTGTTCTGTTACTGCTAAGAGCTTTGCAATGATCGATAGCAACATTTTTTAAACTTGTTCTGACTTTGCAGCGTTCAATAGTCTTCCAAGTTTTGGTTGGTAAAAATTCCTCTTAAACCGGGGATTTCTGGTCAGGAGAAGACATATTCCGTGAAGCTGATCTCGTTAATTATTACTTTTTGTTTTTTTTTTGGGGTTGTTTATGAAGATATAAACATATACTTACACTATTTCTTGCGTAAGAGTATGTATATGCCAAATAAACTCGTGGATAAAACAGTTAATTACATATCTAAATAAGTCTTTATTTTTATTGGCTTTACGCGTCGGTAAATATTACTATGACGGTAACAGTAAAACAGTTATTCGAACC